CTATATATACGCGAAGGCAAGAAGGTTTCAAGATCAACAAAGAACAAAGCAAAGTAAAATTGTTAAACGCAAACGCGGAGAGTTGTACTATCACAAGAAGAGGAAGCGAAACGATGTCTCTAATTCCGAGCTTTTTTGGTGGCCGAAGAACAAACGTGTTCGACCCGTTCTCGCTTGACGTATGGGATCCTTTCGAAGGATTCTTGACTCCCTCGGGGTTGGCAAACGCACCCACCAAGGACGTGGCAGCGTTCACAAGCGCTAAAGTAGATTGGAGGGAGACACCTGAGGCGCACGTGTTCAAGGCGGACTTACCAGGGCTGAAGAAGGAAGAGGTGAAGGTGGAGGTTGAAGACGGAAACATACTTCAGATCAGTGGACAGAGAAGCAGTGAGAACGAAGAGAAGAGTGACACGTGGCACCGTGTTGAGAGGTCGAGTGGGAAGTTCATGAGGAGGTTTAGGCTGCCAGAGAATGCGAAGATGGAGGAAGTGAAGGCGAGTATGGAGAATGGTGTGTTGTCTGTTACGGTGCCTAAGGTCCCGGAGAAGAAGCCTGAGGTCAAATCTGTTGACATCTCCGGTTAAACAGTTAAATGTTGAAGACAAAAGAAATGTGTAATGGTGTGAAATAAATGTTGTGGATGCCTTATTTTCCTGTTGTTTTCTTGTAATCATGTCTGGTTGACGGTTGTATCAGTAAATCTTAATAAAAAAAAAAAAAGAGTGTTTTGAATATAAAGATATATCCTCAATTACTATCATGATCGAAAGATGTAAATCTTTCAAACATTGACTATTGTGATCGAACGATGCAAATTTTAAGATAAGTGAAGTCGTAACCAGTTTCTGCAAACACGAGTCATCTCTTCTAGTCCTACAAAGGTTTAGTATAATGGTATCGATAATATATCACTAGAACATTTAGCAACCTGAAGATCTAGGATTGTTGTGGCTGTGAGTCGCCCAGGACAAGGGCTCTGAGGATTGGCATTTGGCTCTCCAGAAATTCCCGTTTTGTCAGGATTCTGTCCGCGGAGCAGTCATGTTCCTGCAAATTTGAATGTAACAACTTCAGTACAGAGATTTAATTGGTGACATTTTGGATGAACATTTATTAGCCACAGAAAAAAAGAGAAGAAACGAACCTCGCCGGATGAAGCCGACATAAGAGCAAGAAGAGTTACAGTTGCTGTCTGGTAATCCGTCAGAGTCTTGTACGCAGATTCATCTAGTTTATCCTACAATGTTGTAATACAACCATACTTAGGAGTCGCTTGTGCATCATACTAGAGGTTCAATTTATGAATGTGAGTTGGCTGATCGAGAGAGAATATTCTATTGTCAACTAATAAGTGTTTCTCCTACGTTAATACCTTCAAGTGTGAAATCGCCGCGGCAATAGCTCTACCTGGGGCTTGCAAAGCTTTATTGTGAACCTGTCAACCATTTTCCAACCATAATTTGAAATCTGACTTTTCACCATGGAATATAGTTACACTAACATGGATATATACCTTAATATAAAGTAGAGAGACCACTTTAGCGAGAAGTGCAACAGGGTCTGATTCAGTAGATACTTGAGAGATCAAATCCTGCAAGGACAAAAGACATCATCATTCTTGAGAAAGAAACACAAAGCAATGGTGAGCTCATTTTTACAAGTAAAGAACGATATGGTGTGGTACACACCTTACGGTATGCATGTAGGAGAGTCCTTTCAAGTTTTTTGTCGAGCTTTTTCAAGACCAATCCACTGTAGAAATGAAGATAACGTTCAGTCGAAATCCGCTGAAAACTAAGCAGACTCACTTCAGAGATATTCAGATAAATAAGTTTATAATACCTTTCCTCTGCCAGATCTCTGAAGGTGGTCATGAAAGCGTCTACTCGCTGAACCACAAATATCCCATTAGTTGTAAAACCAAAGGCTCTTAATACCCTTTAACAGGGTGATTATCTAGGTAGCGAGAAAAAAGGTAAAACATGCATTTAATGTAGTGGTCCGGCCTAGTAATAACAATGATTCCTATCTGAACCAGTAATATGCACAGCCATATCATTTGTTTCAATGTGACACCCAATAAAATTCTAACAGAATAGAAACTTTGGCTCTGTATCAAAATGGGCAGCCACAGGACAGGAGGAATCAAGATGACAGAACAAAAAGAAAAACCTTTTTACAGAATACCAGGCAGTATGTTTGCAACTGTAAGATGAACTCTATTCATTTAAGAAGATCTAACCTTCCCTTCCAATGCTTCAACTAATGCAAGGGCCTTTTTCAGGAGTGAACCACTGAGATTTTTAGCCTGCTCCAAAGGACCAGAATCAGCTAACATCACTTTAGAATAAAAAGTGCAACACCAAAATATTAAGTTAGATTAGTGATCAAATTTGCATACAAGTGCCGTTCTTTCAGAAGAATCAAGCAAAACTAGATCTTGAGCTTTGGCATCTCCAACTTCGATACCATTCTTGAGTTTGTTGTGGATGTCCTGTTTCAATAATCAAAGCTTGATTAGTTAAATCATTAAGAGAATGACCTTATAAATCTCACTTTATTTTCCACTTACCAAGTCATGAAGAAGTGCATCAGCAATTGTAGCTGCTGTTGTTCTCAGCAGATGCCTATGTAAAACAACCTAGGACAAGAAGAAAACAAATTGTAACACTATATTCTTTAGTTAGCAAGTGCGGCTTGCAAGATGGACTGCAAGTACTTACTGAAGTCGATTGGTCCTCTTCAAAAAGCTCTAGCGCCTTTTCGTACAGCTGCATATTTAGGAAAGACTGCCAAAAGGAAAGCCAGTAAAAATAAGGTCACAAGATACTATCATGCCAAGAAACACAGGGAATACACTAATAGTCAAACGAAAGATAAAAATAGTTGAAGCGGTTGGTTTCAACCTCATCAAGCTTTTTCTGAAGATCATCCATCAAGCGCCTCATTCTATCTGAATTTTCAGTGAAGATTTTCTTTCTTCTCTCCTTTAGTGAATTAATGAGCATAGGTTTCATATGATCAGCTAAATGCTTGAGAATTGAATCTGGGTTCTCCATACCTGCCAGAAACCCATAGCTTCTGTCACATTAACGTACAGTTCAGAGCTACATAATTTTTTATGCATACATAAGATAGAGTTCTCAGATGTACCGTCATCTTCAAATTCAGGCACAGATTCGACGATCTTTTTCATCACCCATCCGTCTGGCGGAATATTGTTATTACCTTCTTGCCCCTTAACCGGCTCTTTCTTGCCTCCTGCTTTCGAGTCCAACTTCTGCGAAGACGATGAATCCCTACCTTTCTTCTGGTTCCTCTTAGATTTAGGACGGGCGTCCTCTTCATCATCCGGAACAGTTTCAACAGTAACTGTGTTCTTGCTGACAGACTTGCCTTTTTTCTTCTTTGATCCTTTATCTGTATTAGCAGGTATGCTTTCTGTCGACTCTGAAGATTTGTTTGAATGATCTATTAAACTAGCAGTAGAAGCTTGGATGCTGAAAGCTTCTGCCTCTTTCTCAATTTGGTCATATATGCCCTAAACATTAGTAGGTCAAACTAAGGCACAGTTCACATAGAGAAAACCAACGGGAAAGACAAACAGCTCGCAAGGAAACTACTAATAATACCCTCCATTTCATATGTTTACCTTAATGAACCCACTGCTTAGGACAAATGAATCACCCAGGATAAGTCCTTTCTCAGTCTGAAAGGAAAAAAATAAATCAGCCTTTAATTGCAAAAACCATCTACTAGTTAATCAAATTTGATCAAAATCCCACCTTGAGAGCTGATTGGACGGAAGGACAAAGAAGCAACATCTTGTTTGCATCCTGTGACGTGAATGATGCAGGCAACACAGAGAGGGCATCGATCCTGAACCGAGTGTCAAGGATTTCAGTAACAATGGATCTAGTGGTATAGACAGCTTAATGTAAAAGCAAACAAACACCAATAGACAGAGGGGAAAAGCGTAAGAGCATTTAGTCTCACCAACTGTTCTGTTCAACAGCATCCTCGGTTGCAGAATCCAGCATCTCAATCATTGAGGAGTGAATAAATACAGCAGATAAAGGTTTACCATCTGGATATCTAGACTATACATGTCACATAAAACCAATTATAATGAGAAAATGAAAGAGGCAACAGAATACTCTTTCTAGCTACCATTCCATAACTTATATTTTCACAAACTAGAGAAATATTATGCTATAATATAATACAATACCTGTAAGAACTGCACGGCTTGAGAAATGCCAAGCTTCTGCATGGTTTCATATGGGATATAGGAATTCTGCAGGAAAACGGAACAAAATAAACCATAAATTCATTGATCACCATTTTTTCAAGAAAGAAAGCTAACAGAACATGCTGAACGGCAGTCTGATGGACATTTAAATTTAGTTATTTTCTACAACTAATTGATGAATAACGAATATTTCAGAGAAAATGATGAACAAACCTGTGAAAAGAAAGAGTCTACGCATTCCTTTTGAGCAATTGCAAAAACCTGCCACCAAAATTAAAATGCAAAGTTAATACCGATGAATGGTAACTGAACATGGGAAACAGAAAGCATGGACAATCCATTAAATGCCAGAAACCTAAGACAAATTAGAATTCTTTGACATACACTAGGAGTCCAATGGGTGCCAGCACGCAGTGATCCAAGCATCTCCTCTTCCTTCAACAGTCGGTTAAATATAGACTGGAAAAATGAATTCTCAACAGCAACTCCACTGGCTCCATTCATTTCTTGTACCAAATGTTGTAATGGCGTCCACAATGCTGACAAATTGGAGGGAACAAAAATACCCCTAGCAGCACCTCGAACCATAGCGGTAACACGTGCTACATAAGCAGGAGTATATAACTGTCCACCTTCTAGCCTTGCTTTCACCTAAAACAAGATTGGACGACAAAAAAAAAAAAACCACACATATAAAAGCCATCATTCACTTGAACACAATCTGGAGAGCTCAAAAGGAGAAGCACCATTACCAAAGTTCCAAGTCGAGGCTCTAAAACGGATTGCACCAACTCAGAGCCAACCTGTAACTGACCAGCAAGTTCAGCCACAGCAATTTGGCTGCATTCTTGGAGCCTCTCGTTGATTTCTTCTGCAATTGAATCCCAATAAGTTTGTGATATGATTTCTCCCTGGACTAGCATTAGCCCTGGATCATTCAAGACCACATCTTGTGCTTGCTTCTCAACATGATATAAATCAACCCCAATCGTATCTGCCAGGTCAATGACAGAGACACGCCCCAATTTACTGATCTCGCTAGCAATTTCACTCCTCAATTGCTCCTGCGAAAAATCAACAGAAACTAACGCATCTAAACAAAAACCTTCAC